CATTGAATAAAAACACTATAAGAAGCCTAACGCTTATGGAAGAAAGCGCGACAAATCCCCTTGCACCCGCATTGGTTGTGATCACCGAACTCTGTTTGCGGTAAATAGGAGGAAAGCAAATTCTCATTCTTCTCAGTTTAAGAATCGACACTATTGACAGTGTTTCCATTATATTCTCAGTTCAATCTCTGTCGCGCTTTATTTCCACGGGGTTAGGCTTCTTATAGTTTTATTATTCAATGGTATAATGTAATAAATAAATACTCACCTTCCGGGTACAAACTGAACAAAGTACAATCGGATAACCTCATTTGCTAGACTGTACACCGAAAACACTTTGTCCCTTAATGCTCGATGTAGGAGAAATATTGCGGCTCTCCCCGTTTTATTCGCAGTATGCATCCTATTAGCATTGTAAGTTAATAACTCCTCTTTCAATCGATTCAACCCCTCCTCTTTATCCAAATAGTGTTTAGAGTAAAATTTCTCGACCAAATCATTTGCAAACACCAGTATGGGAAGTGCCGCTTGTTTTCGTTCTCTTTCAGTTAATTTGGATGTTGTCTTAGTCTCGCATTCCATCTGGCATTCACGTAGGAATTCGTTAGTCTGCGAACTGAATACTAATTGTTATCGGCAGACTGGAGGCATTTGTACTTACTGTCTTAAGGTGGGTAACGGTTTCTCTTCATATTGTTCGTAGCTTGTTTTAGTAATCGCTCCCGCTGATTTGTTACGCCGTCTTAAGGAGCCCCTCGTCTGTATATTGGTCGGGCTTCCAGTACAGGGCGAGCCTGTTTTCGGACTTGGATGTCTCGGATTGTGTATAGGTGAAACTGATCCTTGGCTTAAGCAGGTCACGCTAGGGGAAGGTATTCGTTTATCTGCTTTGCTTGTAGGTGACATCACATTCCTATGTGACGAATCTTCATCTACACATTCGTCGTTTTGTAAGCACACCTAGTGTCTATAAGTAGTAGTTGTAAATTGCACAATTCCTAGTACTTACACCGTTTGCTTCCAGCAATTGTTCTACAAATAAATTTGCATAGGCTTCCTGTCGAAACTCCTCCATTTGTTTCTTTTTGTGTCTGGCTCTTTCGTAATCCTCCATTTCAATCGCGTGTCTTTTTTCCAAATCATACTTCCCTAGGCGTTCTCCAACTATTCGAAGCCTTTCTATAGTTTGCTTAAGTTTTCTGGCATACTCGTACCGTTCACCTTAGATTATGAGACTTGAGTGCAACGAAATTTTGATCGTACCTACCTAATACTGCTAAATGTTTTTTCAGTTCCATTTCTCTAATTGTATTTGCTACACCCACATCCACATACATTTCAAAGGCCAAATCGTCATAAGGAGATACATATTCTGGATCACTTATTAAGGCATTTAATTTATCTGCGATGCTTTCATTTTCAATGGACCGTTTCCTTGCTTCAAGTTCATTACCCAACACATTTACAGCTATTACACTTACCTAAAAATGCGTATCAAAAAGACATAACTGATACGAGACTTACCTACCTGGTTATTCACATTATATGCATTCGTGTGGTTTTTACCTAACTTTAATTTTAAAAATGTAGCAACACAAGGTGGTACACTGACAGATTTCAATTCTCTACTCTTAAACATGGAACTTTGGTTGTCAGATAATGTAATATATCCTATATAATCCCAGTTTATATTTACAACATCTTCTATAGTATTTGTGTCTTGGTTGCTTGCAAATAATTCTATTTTGGAAGCTACATTTACCAATACAATAGATCAGTTTCATATACCTATTCAAATGGTAGGTACTTACGAATTAAATATTGATGCGCTAAGACTTGAACTTTTGTCAACAAACACTGTTTTTCTAATTGTAGCATAATTTCTTGAGGAAAATCGCAATTCTTTGCTGACTGCCATCCTTTTACTACCGGACTATGATTGTTTAACTCGCTTGACTTAAATTTAGGATCTTCACCTTAAAATGCAATCTTCCCATAAACTAAATACTGCTAATGATTAATTATTTACCTGTGGCATGTATTACGCTGAATTTAATTTTTTTGGGCATATTAGAAATTCATTTTGTCTAAATGCGTTAATTAATATTTCATTCTCTTTATTTTTTAAGTTAATTAAAGTTATTAATGTATCGCAAATACTATTGATGCCCTTACAGTAATATTTGTGCATCATTTGAAAAGCTTTTTCATTCTTACGTTTTCAAGAGTATTGATTTTCTTCTATTTCATCTTCTCTTTCATACTACCTACATATTTTCAGAATGAATAGTATGTAACTAAACTCAATCTCTGCTTATACCTATATATGTATACTGATACTTTATTGTTATTAACAAATAGAATATGTATCTACATTAAAATTAACAACTAAAGTTTTAGGTGTATAGGTACAATTTCCCAAACAATTTCCTATATTTGTGATTTTGTTTCAACAGTAGCTTTCTACTGGATTCTACCGATTCTACGTATAAATACGTAAAATAGTCAGTTTTTACCTTTTTAGCGCATTTTTGCAAATTTTTTTTGGTAAAAAGTAGCTTTTAATCTCATTTTGGCTGGCTGGCTGGCTGGCAGTAAATGCGCGCCCGTAGAAAAATGCTTGTAAAATGACAAGGAGTGTACATGTAACTATCGGGACTGTGTAATTTTGTTCTGCCAAAATTTGACACCGCCCGTTGCAATGCAGCCAAACTTAAGGGAAATATTCGATTAATTTTGATGCTCGAGGGGGGCTCGGGATTTTTGTTCTGCCAAATTTGTCACCGCACCGTTGCTATGCAACCAAACTTTCGGGAAATATTCGATAATTTTGAAGCTCGAGGGGTATTTGGCTAGATTATTTTTCACATTTAACAGTCGACCAATGAAAACGCCGTATTCAAAGCTACTGGAGAGAATTATTTCGGATATTTTTCGGATATACCCCTGCTTGTTGCTAGACAGCGAAAATATTTTTGAAACAAATAGCAACCCATGTCTATAAAGACATTTGTTTAACAACGCTTAGTAATCGTAATTTTGACGTTTGTAAGTTAATACAAGTTTAGTGCAACATTTTCTCTAAAATGAGTCGTTTCGGTGTAGAATCGCTACAAAATATACAAGAAAAAACTAAGGAAAATGTGCCGTTAAACACCATTAAAACCAAAAACATGGTTTGGAAACAGTTTTCTTCCTTTTGCGCCGACAGGAATATTGAATTAATGGAAACCACTTCAAATGAACAACTCGCTAATATTTTAACAGATTGGGCTTTCAACATGCGAAAATCGAACGGAGAAAATTATAAAGAAAATGTGGTGAAAACTATGTGGAACCAGACTGCAAAAATGATACAAGACAAGTACTTCAACGAATTCAACAGAGAGATTGACCCATTCAAAAACCCAACTTTTAAAGTAGCTAGGGATGCGAGAAATGCGAAAAGGCGCACACTTCAGGTCGATCCAACCAAACGTACCACCAGTTCAACGGCTTTGGACAAAAAAGACATAATAGCTATGATGAACGTCTGGAACGAAAATACACCAGAGGGATTGCAACGAAAACTATTTATTATCATTTCCGTGGAATTGGCTTGGAGGGGGAATGAAGGACTAACGGCACTCGTGCATCACTTTAAGGAGGAATTGGGAAACGATGGTATTTATACTGGTAGAATTGAATACAATCCTGTGTTCACAAAGACAACACAAGGTGGAGAACGGAAGTGCGCAAATAGTAAGTGGCTAATTGCAAATGAAGAGGCTCTCGATTACTGTCCGGTAAGGTTGTTAAAGTTATTGTCTTTTCGAGATAAAAATATAAAGACGGACCGTTTATTTTTAACTGTAAACCCCAATTGGAGAGATTAGCAAGGTGTTGGCTGGTACAAAGACGTTCCTGTAGGAAAAAATGTTATGGGAAAATGGATGAACGATTCTGCAAAACGCGCTGGGCTTAACACTACCGACAAGAAAATAACGAACCACTCGAGCAGGGCCACTGCTGTATCCACACTTGCAAAATCTGGAGTTGGGGAGCAGCAAATTATTAAAATTACCGGGCACTCCAATGTCAATTCAATAAAACCATACTTGCAGCTAGATAAGGAGCACCATGAACAAATATTAATGAAAATGCGGCAAGATCCTACATCTACAGTTGAAATGAATTCGGCTACCTCCACAAGCTATAATGCCCCTAAAACAAACAATAATGTCTACAACAACTCTACCTTCAATTGTACTAATTAATTGTATGCAATCTGCAGTTTTGTAATTGTGTAATGTAAATAACTTAATGATTATTGGTGATAAATTATTAAATTTCAAATAAAAAATCTTGAAACTAAGACAAGAATTGGTGAAGTGGTTTACTTTCCAAATTTGAAAAATAATCAAGAGTATAACAAAAACCGAGACAAAGATAAATTTATAGGTATCTGAGAATTCCAACAGTTTTTCTGGTTACGGTAGGTTTGAGGCAAAGTATAAAATTACAACGGTCGAAAAATTTAAACCGGTTAGCTACCCCCCTACAAGGGTTCCATTTGCTATAAAAATGCTGTGAGAGATGAACTCGATAGACTTGTGGGTACAGAGGAAGGCTATCGTGAAGGTTGAAGAGATAGACCCGCAAGCTAGCATAAACCAAATGGTTATCGTGGAAAAGAGTAACGGTAAGTTTGGCATTTATGGATTCACTGTTTTACCGTATGGACTCTCTAATTCCCAAGACTTGTTCCAAGAACAGATCGAAAGTAAGTTTGGTGACTTGGAAAATGTGCAGCTGCTCCATGATGATATGATAATCATGGGAATAGACAAAGAGGAACATGACAGGGCAGTCGAACAAGTGATAAGAAGAGCAAAAGAAATGGGCGCTAAATTTAACAAAGAAAAATTCCAGTACTGCCAAAAGCAAGTCAAATTTATGGGACAAGCTTTTTCAGAGAAGGGCATGGAAATAGATCCAGAGAGGATCGAGTCTCTTCGCAAATTACAAAGCCCAAAAGACAAAACTGAACTGCAGAGAATTATAGGTAGTTTCAATTATGTTAGTAGGTAAGTACCTACATTCCAAATAGGTATGGCCGATCACATTAAACCTCTTTGTCAACTGTTAAAATCTAATGCTGACTTCAAGTGGCTTCCTTTACAACAACAATATTTCGAAAAGTTAAAAGTGATAATTACTAAATCCCCAGCACTACTACCATTTGATCCTATAAAAAGAAAACAATCTTACAATGTGATGCTTCTAAAAATGGGATAAGACATCAAACTCTGTCATTAATGCTTTTCAAGATGTATTCACCAAGTTTGGATACCCACAAGGCACAAATTTTAATAGCTGACAACTACCTACCTTTTATATCCCAGAAATGTCTAAATTATTATCGTGGAAAGGATACCACTGTAGCATGTACTCCCGAATGGCCTTGTAGAAAAAGCGGTCAACATTTCAAAACAGATTTTACGGAAAAGCGTAGAAACAAACACTGATTTTCGAGAGAGGCAATGGAATACAACAATACAGAGATAATCTCTCTTCAAGCCTCTCCAGTTCAAATTCTCCAAAGCAGATCACTAAGAACTCGGCTACCAACAATCGGCAAAAATTTGGAACTTCAGATAAAAAATAACGTGTACGATATCTTGTGTAAGCAACAAAAACAAATTAAAATTCACTATGACAAAACTGCAAGGAGAAATGCAACCGATTTTAAAACGGGGGATAAAGTAGTAATTAAAAATAGCAAAGACATAATTTGGCACAAAGCGATAGTTATAGAAAAAGCCAAAGAGCCTAGATCATATGGGGCATAAAAAAGAACACAATAACAAAATAGTAAGACGAAATTCAAACCAAATGAAACCATCGATTACAAAATCTTGTACAAATGATCATGTTTTAGATCCTGAATTCTATCCTGACCTAGTTTATAAGAAAGACACCAACAATGACATTTTTAACAAACCCAGTAGTTCAAGAGTTGAGCATAATCCTAGCAGTTGATCATGATAGTTATAAGCCTAAGAGTGTTTAAGTCAAAAAGTGACTTCAAAGAAACCATCTCGGAAACCATACAATCTCGAGACCAAACCACCCAATATTTCAAAATCAGGTCGTGTAATAAAAACTCACCATAAATTAAATCTTTGAGGAGAAGGTGTTTGGTATTACCACCATACCATGTTGCAATCATGTGTAATCGCCTAGCATAAGTTAATAGTAAGGGAAGTGACAGATGTAATAGATATCGTCTCAGAGTAAGATGTAAGATCTTTATTTCTTACTCTGAGGATATCGTCACTTGCAGATGTGTTCCACACTGACTCCCTATACTGCGCAAACGCAAGCGCGCTAAAATTTGAATTTGCTTTAACGTGCCACCGTTTGTTTTGTTTATAATACCTGTTCCTGCTGACCAAATGTCGCTGTATTTTCGGAAAGAATATGTTCTTCTTCTCGAATTAAAGCCTTCGGTCACTACTGTGAATTCCAGTTAAATACATTATAGCGCCAACTTGAAAGCAAACCTCTACTTTAGCTATCAGTCATGATCCTTGTAGTCTGGTTTTTTGTGATTCGTTCAGCACCGGACTCTCTCTTTACCATAGGTCAATGTTGGTCTGTAACGTTATTGCTGTAAGTAAATGTCATTAACTCTTTCTAATTAACTATTACAGTACTTACCGAAGCAGTTTCCTAATATCGCCTTTGGCATATTCTATGACCATGCACTCCAAATGTAGATAACAACAAAATTCATCTTGATAACATGGCATTTTCATATACCTACTACATATAATAGGTAAGCAGGTAAGCTAAATTATCTTCAATTATAACGTTTGCAGGTTATGTGTATATTATTTACCCCTTACACTTGACAGCTGTACACAAATTCAAATTTTAGCGCGCTTGCGTTTGCGCAGTACAGGGAGTCAGTGTGGAACACATCTGGCAGTGGTGCGCAGTGGGTTGCGTTTTGCCGCTCGCTATTCGGGAGGGTGTGGTCGTATTCCCGCTGCGACTGCTCTGTCTGGGGTTTTTGTAGAGGGATTTCCTTAGGAGTACGTAGCTTCGCATTCTTATCCGAAACTCGCGGGAGAAACGGCAGAAACTAAATTTTTATTCCGACAAAAGCGTGGACGCAGGCGACCGGCGCCGACAAGTTTTAACCTGCTTTCACTCCGTACACGCTAATTCGAAAACATTATATGATTTCCAAAGCGAGAAGCGCGAGTCGGCGCTGGTAACCGGCAAGCGAGAAACTTGCCTCCACTCTGTTCGTACCCTACGCTCGCGAGCAAGTACCCAGCTCTATACTGACCATAAAAATGATACCCGCCTAAATTAATTAAAAACGAGATTCTCATCGAACAAGATAGTCATTAGTCCGCGACCAAGAAATGTTTGAATATTGGGCTATGAATAAATAACGATTTGAATTTTGAAACCAAAATGAAGTAGCGTCGACAGAACTCATCCAAGTAAATTATCTAAAGGGGCGACTAGCAGCTGCAGCATGCGTTGAGGTGTTTTTTTTAAGTTTGAAAAATAGAA